GTCCTAACTAATTTACCTAAGAGCCTTGCACGTATAGAAACAGACCCTAAAGGGTATTAAGCTGTATGACCTAAGATATAGAAAGGAGTCTAGGAGGTAATCATTTATTGACCATAATATGGGGGGGGGTAGTAGTTCCTATCGAATATCCAAGCAGTGTGCTGGGGCATTACACACACCACGACGTATTATCACAACATTTCAGAATGATAGATATTATTACCCTCATTTAACAAATGCAAAAGCAGAGACTTTAGAAAATTTGCCCAGAACAGTGCTGCTAGAAATGGACAAGGCAGAATTTGAACACAGGTCTTTCTCACTGCAAAACTCATTGCCTTTTTCCCCCCTGCATCACCCTGCCTGCAGAAGCCATGCCACAAGAGCTATCTGAAAGCTTGTCTCATTTCCTCCATCTACTTAAAGTCAAAGCAAAGACACCTTCTGTCTCTACCTTGTCTAAAACTTGAACTTGAGATGATGTCATGGGAGAATCTAATTAGATCAGTACAGATTTATCAAGGTCTTACTTCATCGGAGATGCTGTGCTGGGTGTAGAGTAGCTGCAGAGTGTTTCCCAGTGGGAAGGCTGACCCTTCCACCCAGACAAAGGCAGGCAAGTGAGAAGACAGAACCTGGTTACAGCCAGACCTGAGCTCCTCACCTTGTCCCATGGACCCTGCTTGCTCTGCTCACATCAGACCCATTCTGTGCTCAGTCCCCTTCTGTGATCTTTGTACTCTGCTTTCAAGTCACCCGGAGCTTACAGGTGCCCTACGTCTAGGATCCATCTCTTCCTACTCTTTATCCATCATAGCCACTCCCAGTGCCCAGTACCTGCTCCATTATCTCTTGTCCACACTATTTAAACAACTTCTAAATGGACTTTGCTCTATATACAAACCTACACAAATTCCAAGATTAATCTTCTGTTTATGCATTTGACTCTCACCAGGACAATTTACTACTCCAAGTGATTTACGAATTTTTTTTAAAAAAAAATTTAAAACTAACATTTTCTCCAAATAAAGTCTTACTCAGAAACCTAGATAATAAGACAGATGAGAGCCAAACCTCTTTGGTTTTAGATTTATTATTAGTTTAGATGTTAGTTTTGGGGGCCTTCGCCTCCTGGATTCACTTTCTTATCCCCCCAGATCCCCTCTGAGGCCTCTCCATGGAATACTGGGGAAGCATAGAACCGTCTGAGATCACTGGCCTGAGAAATAAATTCCAGCTCATTAGCCTAATATCCAAGGCCCTTCTGTCTGGCAGGCTTAGGAGCCACCCCCTAGGGTCACTGCAGCATTCAGATTCAATACATTCCAAGCCCTTAGAACATTCTTGCTATATGATAAATGCTCAGTAAATCTAGTTTGTTTTACTGGTTGTTGTTTGCAATCTTTCATCCACTTAGAAGCCCTAAGATTCAGTTTCTGTGAGCTCCTATGTCCTTTGCTTTCAATCCCCAATGGGCTATCTGCAGTCAACCCCTCAAGCTATTTTGGAGCCTGAAATTTCTTTCCCATCCAATCTCTGTGTGCACAGCCCTCTCCCTCTTCTAAGGCCCACGGCCTCCTGGATCATCATCCCAGCCAGAAACCATCTCTCCTACCTCCGCAGGCTGCCGACCTTCACCTGCGTCTCTCCTGGGACCTGGCTACATCATTAATTGCGTTCCTTTGTTCCATGACTTGCACCCCCAAAGAGCACGCTGCGCCTGGATCACGTTTGCCCTTGCTGCTCTTCCTACCTGCCGCGGCGGGCTCTCTGTAAACGCAGAATAAATGAACACAAAGTGCTTCATCCCTTTCAATTGGGATGCAGGGGCCACAGCTTAAGCATTGCGACTGCTGAGTTAATCAAGGACATCCATGACGATGAAAATACCCCCAAAGAGTCATTTATTTAAAAGCCAAAATGTCACGGGAATTGAAGAACTCTACTCAAAATATTTCAGACTGAATCAGAAATCGGCTTTCATGTCAGGCTTTTTTGGCTCCAGAGAGTTTCCTTCCTGTTGTGATATACAGGCTTCTCCTCCAGCAGGGGTTGATCTTCTTGCCCCAGCCAATGGGCCAAGAGTCCACCAAAGCAAGAAGCCCAGATATCAGCAGCCGCCCGTGCCTGCCTAGGAATCTGCTTCTAGGAAGCCTCCCACCTCCTCAGCCCAGCCCTGGATCACCTGGATTATTGGGTGCTTTGGAACAGAACCCCACAGAACAGCTTTCTCTTCTAGGCTAAACTTCATGCCTCACAAAAGCGATACTAGAAAACGTGGATGCGACCACATTTTTTTTAATTTTATCCTTTCTTTAAAGGCTTCTGTGGTTTTGCATCCTAAATAACCACATTCCTCAAAATAGGACCAGCAGAATAGCATCCGAAGCACCTGGAGCAAGTGTTCAAAATGCATTCTCCTGAGCTCAGTCCCGAAACTAATGAGCCCCAGAAGCTGCTGCTTTTCCGTGGCTTCAGAGGTGATTTCTGTGTCCCTACAAGTTTAGATGCTTCAGACGGAAATAAGGCCAGGTGTTCCGTTCAGTATTAAAATCTGAGCCAGTTCATCTCCTCAAAAATCGCTGGATCAAAGTATTGGTTTTGAGGGGTTAGGGTTTTATTTTGTTTTGTTTCATTTTTTTGTAATTTTTGGTTTTTTTCCCTTGTTTTGTTTTTGTATATTGAATTTTCCAGGCACAGGGAACTGGTGGGCAACCCTGGAAACAGCAGCAGGATTCTCATCTCATGTCTTTGCCCAGGGATTCTGCCCCTTGCTTCAACTGGGTGCCATACACATTCTAGCCCAAGAAAACCCTGCCACGTCACTACTGCCAGGAATCTCTTCTTCATTTTGTAGACATGATCAATTCTCCCTATCCCAGGACCTCACCCTCCTGCTAAGCCAGGGTTCAGTGAATACCGATCCACCTGCCTTCCCCCTATCACTCACTTGGCATTTGAACCGGGACCATGCATAGATTTAATCTGTGAAATACAGAACGTGCAACCTGCAACACCTGTGAGGTGGTCCCTCTCCCTGCACTTACTTGAAGAACAGCAGAGGGCATATCACCCTCTTGGGGAGCCTCGGTTTCCTCATCTAAAAATGGCCTTGGCATAATTCCAACTTTCGAGATTAAATGTGATAATGCACGTGAAGGGCTTAGAAGAGTACTTCAAAAGTACCAGGTACAATTTTATTGCTAGTAATATTATCATTGTTTTATTATCCCAAGGGTGAAACAAAATGCCTGCTGCCAAGAGACTGTAAATCATCGTAGACTTCATGCCCTCCCAATGCTTTTAGGCTAAGATCTATATTCCTGATAGGAAAAGAAAATAGTTGTAGCTTTCTTTTTTACTCTCACCTTATGTCAGACCAATGTCTTGACTTTACTGTTTTATAAACCAGAAGTAAATCTCTCAATGAGGCT